ACGGGATTCGGTGACCCTGGCCTCAACACTACACATAAGTCCTCAATAATTTATAGCGTGTTACAATTTGTATATTGGACTAAAATATTTAATGAACAAAATATAGTTAGGAAATAAGAAAAAGAAAAATATAGCATAAGATTACATAAAGTAATAGTATGTCATTAATAAATATGGTAAATATATAATGAATCATACATACTTTTAAAATTAGCCTAACAACACTGATATTCAAATCCCTTTTTATTCATGAATTGAAAGTCAATATCTTAGACTTTGTAAATTTTCATAAAAAGAACAATGAGAAAACCAGAAACAGCAGACCGAAAGCCATTATTTTGACTTTCTTTATTTTCTTACAAAGTAGAAAGAAAAAACAAGGAACACAAATGCATAATAGGGATTTGAAACAAAGTAAAGTGCAATTGGACACCAATATAATGTACTTTTAAAATCTACATATCTTGTATCCGGGGTATCCTGCACAAGTACAACACGTCCAACAATCATTGCAGTCGTAGTTTATTTCACAAGATCGAAAACATGTATTAAGTTGTGAGAGCAGTCTTCTCTCAACTCCTGAGAGATCACGAGCAACATTTCTTGCAACCACAAGATGCGTCTCAGAGAACCATGCCATATTAACTGAAATAATTCACTATTATAATTAGTATAAAATTAAAATATTGATGGTAAAATACAAAAACACACATTCAAATTATCATGCATGAAAAGACATGCATACATATGTAATATGATAGAATCATAATCTAGATTTAATGTAAGATAGATACTAGCTCATAGCTGCTATGAGAAGAACAGTGAAAACAAAACCCATCTTAAGCAAAGCCATGCTAATTAGGAACAATAATTTAGGCTTTGGGAAAGTTTTGATGCAAGTGTGACCTATTGTCTTTCAAATGGTGTAATTTATAGACTTCTCATGTACATTTTATATTCAAATAGGTATTTCGCTTTGCATGTGATTGCCATCTTGCAGTAAATGAATATAACACCTCATGATTACTTAATCCACAACTTGGATATAAGAAGTTTAATTAGAAGCACATGTAATTTATCATAAGTGTATCACAGGGGTGTACATAGACCGGGTTAGTTCGATTTTTATCAAAATTGAACCAAGCCAGCTATATCGGTTTGGATTGGTTTGGATTTATGGTTTTTTACGGGTTTTTTCGGGTTTATTGTTTACATTGAATAT